TCGGCCTCCCAAAGTGCTGGGATTACAGGCTGAGCCACCGAGCCCGGCCTTAATTTTTTTATCTATTGTAGAGACGAGGTCTCATCAGGTTGCCCGGTCTGGTCTTGAACCCATGAGCTCAGACAATCTATTTGCCTCAGCCTTCCAAAGTACTGGGATTACAGGCTGAGCCACTGAGCCCAATTTTTTTTTTTTTTTTTTGAGAAAGCAGGATTTATTGAAAGGACAGAAAAACTTCCAGAGTGGGAGAGGACCTGAGGGGTTTGCTCCAAATATATTATTTATCAGTAAGAAGGAATGAAGTACTGATAACATGCTACAACAAAGATAAACCTTGAAAAGTTTATGCTAAGTAAAAGAAGTCAGTCCCAAAGATTTCATATTGCATGATCCACTTATTTTCAAAAATTATTTATTTGTTTTTCGGAGATAGGATCTCACTCTGTCACCCAGGCTGTAGTGCAGTGTCATGGTCATAGCTCACTGTAACCTCGAAGTCCTGGACTCAAGTAATCCTCCCCCTCAGCCTCTCAAAGCACTGGAATTACAAGTGTGAGCATGATTCCATTTATATGAAATGTCCAGAACAGGCAAATCCATTCAGACAGAAAGCAAATTCGTGGTTGCCAGTGACTGGAAGAAATGCAGTTTGGGAGTGACTGCTAAAGGGTGCATGGTTCCTTTTGGGTGATAAAAATGTTCTGAAATTAGATAATGGTGATGGTTGCACAATTCTGTGAATACATTACAAACACCGAATGGCATACACTGAACGGTGAGTGTGGCTGGCAGTGGTGGCTCATGTTTCTAATCCCAGCACTTTGGGAGGCTGAGATGGGAGGATTGCTTGAGGCTAGGAGTTTGAAAATAGCCTGGGCAATATGGTGAGACCTCATCTCGCTACAAAGTAAAAAAAAATTAGTCAGGTGTAATGGTACATGCCTGTAGTACCAGCTACTTGGGAGGTTGAGTGGAAAGGATTGCCTGAACCTAGGAGGCAGAGCTTGCTGTGAACTGTGATTGTGCCATTGCACTCCAGCCTGGGTGACAGAGTGAGTCTCTGACTCAAAAAAAACAAAAAACAAACAAAAAGCATAAAAGGATGAATTTTATGATATGTGAAAGGCCATAACATGGATTAAATAGACCCAGTGAGCAGCCATTTTAACATTGCCTACATCTCATGTTTTTCTAGCAGTTCATTTAACTTACCCTCTAATAACTAGCCAAGGACAGAGCCGGTTTCTCAGAAACAGACCCCACCACCATGAGGTGGTGCAGGTACTAACCCATCCATCTGCCTGCTATCACCTGACATCAGTACCTGCGCTTACCTGCCCCTTTGTGATGACATGGAGCAGACCACATTGATGACCTGCATTATTCATAATGAAAACAAGTGACTAAACTTGAGCTTCTAGAAGTGAGCCTTCATGCATCTGATGACCCAGACGGAGCACTGTTAAGGGAGCATTTGTACCCCCATCTCTACACATCTAAACGACCAATCACCTTAATGACCTTCCCCCCATCAAAGGGAAGGATTAAAAGAATTCAACCATGAGTAACCAGCGGCCATTGCCTTATTAGACTCTGGTGTGGCCCATGTGCTCTTTGAGCTATGGCTGTTGCCATATTTCCTGGCTTTGGCCTACTTCCCTACCTTGGAGAGGTGAATCTCCTCTTTCTTTTTCTCTCTCACTCTCTCGTTTACCTTTTAAATAAACTATATTTTCTAATCTAACTTCTGTGCAATTCTTTGCATCTTTCTTGTGGCACTGGATTGCGCACCAGACACCCACACCCCCAGAGGGCCTGACCTCACATTCTGGAGGCCGCCTGGGAGTGTGACCTAACAGTCTGTTAATAATAACAATAATAATACAATTATTATTTTTAAAAATTACGAAGGGGTTTTACTTTTGCTCCAATTGCATCTTTATATAAACTTGAAGTTTTTTTAGTAAATAGAGATAATATAAATCACTCTTATTATATTATACTCTCTAGAAAATGCAAGTAGTAAGTTTGAATTTGATGAGCCCACCCACTATTCTCTAAACAACATATTAGCCGCAAGATGTTCATCCACCAGAGATATTTAAAATAGCAAAATAATTTTCTCTGCCAATGATTCTGTGTCACAGCTACAAAGACCTCATCTCTACAATAAATCAAAAAAAAAAAAAAATCAGCCGGGCGTGGTAGCGCGCGCCTGTAGTTCCAGCTCCTTGGAAGGCTGAGGCGGAAGGATCGCCGGAGCCCAGCAGGTCGAGGCTGCGGTGGCCGGGAGCGGCCACTGCCCTCCAGTCTGGGCGACGGAGTGAGACTCCAACTCAAAAAAAAAGTTACTTGGCTTGTTGGTCTCAATAAGTTTTAGTTGATTAAACAGTCTCCCTGTCACAGCCAGGACTGCCGGGGCTGGAATTCCCTGATACCCCTCACTGGTCAATCCACACGGTTCTCCCGTCTAGACAGCTTTGAAGATGCAAAACAATCCAGCAGCGATCCTCGCGGCTTCGGGGGTCTTTGAACTCCCAGGAACGTCGTGATGCGTGTGGGCATCATTTTCTTAATCGCAGGAGGGTCTGCACACCTTTTCCCGCTTTTTAAAGAGAGCCGCTGGCCAACATTTCAGAGACACGTGCCAGTGTGGCGGCATTTAGATTCTGCCGGATGTCAGTGGTTTCAGCGGGTCCGAGTCCCCTCCCTTTTTTCTGATCGTAGCGCCCCCTCTCGGGGAGGTGGTCGAACTCTTGCCCGGAATGCCACACGCGGCCGGAGAACCTTCCCTCTGCGTCTGGTTGCTGAATCCGGAGAAGGAAATTTAGGAGACGATGGCATCCCGTGCGCCCCCAGCGAAGAACGCCCAGGGGCCCGCCAGGGAGCGGAGCCGGGCCCTTCCAGCCCATCCCCCTCCTATCCCCTCCCCCCTCCCTATCCCCTTCCCTTCGCCTCGCAGCCTTCCCGCCGCCCCCACCTCCTTGCTCTCTTCCTTCCGCTAGGGGGCGAAAGCTTTCGCCCGGGGAAGGCAGGGGCGGGACATTCCAGGGACTAGATAGCGAGTTAAAGGCACAGGGATGAAAAACAGCGTGGCTTGGGAGGGCGGGCTCGGGGGCTGCTAAGAGGGGATGAGCTCAGCGGCTAAGAGGATCGGCCCTGGCGAATCCCTCAGCGGCGCACGCACTGCATAAAGGGCCGAGGCGCCAGGGTGGCTTGAGGTCAGGATTACCAAGACGCAGGAGCAACACAGGGAGGCTTAAGGCGCCAGGCTTCGCTGCCCAGGCGGAGGGGACCCGCGCCCTCCGGCCAGACGCGAGAATGAAGCTTTAGCTCCGCCCCCGGCCGAGGGAGGAGGACCGGCCCCGCCCCCTCCTCCCGGGCCGCCCCCCAGCGCCCACGTCCTCCGGAACCCCGGCCCGGCTAGGCCAGACACCTCCGAGTCCGGGATGGCTTGTCCGGTGAAGCGAGCATCAGCGCCTTGAGTCGGGAAGGTTGGGGAGGGCACTGGGGAAAGAGGACGGCCTCCCCCTTCGGGCTCCCACTTGGTAGCACCTTCCTGATCCCCTAATCTGTAAGGCGCTCAGGGAAATGCCCCCCTGCGGGAGCCTTCTCGGAAATGCTGCCCTGGCCGCCCGGGAACCATGAGCCCTGCAGCCCCGGTAAGGAAGATTTCTCTGGGGCAGGAAGAAGGGTCCAGGGCAGGGTGGACCCCCTTCCCAAACGGGGGATGGGACCAGAAGCCTTTCAGGCCCTGACAGTCCCTGTTCCCTGAATGACATCTGTGTCTGTTGGGAGGCGAGGGTTTGTGAGGCTGAGCTATTGGAGGAAACGGTCCTGCAGGGGCTGGCGGAGGGGACAGATCCAGAAACTGTCTTCCTTCCCCAGTTGGGCCCCCTCCAGCCCATTTCCGACTGTGCCCTAGAGGGACCTTTCCCACTTGCTAATCACATCTCCTGACTCCTCGTCTTGAAACTCCCATCCCCAAGCTCCAGTCTCTTCGCTGTAGTATTCAAGCTCTCAGCCCCTCCTCCAAGGCTTCTGTGCTACTTCCAGCTCTGTCTCCTGCCATTCCTCCGTGTCCTCCCCACCCTTGTGCCCTGTGTTCCAAACACACTGAACTACTGGGCACTCCTGAACATCCTGACCGGTGCTCACAGGGGGTTAGGTTTGCCCTGAGAAACTGTTGCTCAGTTCTCCAGAACCCCTTTCAGCCTCCTCTGGGAAGCCTTCCTGAACCTCTTGGGCAAAGTCAGACTCAACTTTCCTGGTTAAATCACACCTTGTGTTCTATTGTGTGTTTACATTTAGTCTCCCCCACCACACTGGACGCTGGGAATGAAAGGGGGAACGGCAGTGTTCCATGCTGCCCTAGAGTCCAGTGCAGTGCCTGGCACAAACTGAGCATAGAAAACAAATACAAAACTAGGAACCTTATTTCTCCCTGTAATTTTACCTTTTTTACTAGAAAATGAGTTTGCAGATTCTTAAGAATAAGTATTTCATGATCGAATGGGCAAATGTCTTAATAGAAAAATAAAATCTTGGCCAGGCGTGGTGGTTCACACCTATGAGCCCAGCACTTTGGAAGGCTGAGGTGGGAGGATTGCTTGAGGCCACACGTTCGAGATCAGTCTGAGCAACCATAGTGAGACCTCATCTCTATTACAAATAATGATAAAAAGAACATCTCGCCGGGCTCGGTGGCTCAGCCTGTAATCCCGCGCCTTTGGGAGGCTGAGGTGAGTGGATTGCCTGAGCCCGTGGGTTCGAGACCCGCCTGGGCAGTGAGACCTCATTTCTACAATAAATCAAAAAATCAGCCGGGCGTGGTAGCGCATGCCTGTAATTCCAGCTACTCGGAAGGCTGAGGCGGAAGGATCGCCGGAGCCCAGCAGGTCGAGGCTGCGGTGGCCGGGAGCGGCCACTGCACTCCAGTCTGGGCGACAGAGTGAGACTCCAACCCAAAAAAAAAAAAAAAAAAAAAAAAGAGAACATCTCAGGTGAGGGCACTTCTGGCCAGCTCTAGAGCTGCACACTACAAGTCCCAGAATGCCTTGGGCCAGTATCTCGCCACGCCCCCTTCTGGGGGGTGGGGCAGGTCGGAGGGCGGGGCCCTGGGGCAGTCAGGCTCCCCGAGCACAGCCTGAGGAGTGAGATGCCCCAGGCTCTCTGGGGCGCCCAAAGCGCAGGCGCAGAAGGTTGGGTGGCAGCAGCATCGAGTAGCAGCCGCTTTGGCAGCATCCACAACAGGTGTAGACAAGGTGGGTGCATGGGGGTGAAGGGAGGTGGGCTGGAAAGATAGCTTGCGCCTGGCCCTCTTGTCTGACCTGTGACAAGAGCTTGGGAAAGGGTGGGAGCGGCAGGAGAAACGGAGCCGAGGCCGGCCTTCCAGCCCAGGTGTGCCATCCCCTGTTACGCAGCAACAGGTGTAAGCAGGTGGGGGAGGGGCAGAGGCGCCTGCTGGCAAGTACGTCGCCAGCAGGAACGGAGGGCACCTGGATTCCAGTCTAGGTTCCATCACATAGTGGATGAGTAATTTGCTGCCTCTCAGATGACCTACCTATAAAAATAGCAGTAAAGATTCCTTTCCTAACAGGGTCTGATGGGGACAAGGTAAGGTAGCATAGTATGTGTAGTGGCTCCCACTCTTTGCTAAACATTGGAATCCTCTGGGGATCTTTAAAGACGAAGCTTGCCTCCTGCCCCCAGACATTCTGATTTAATGGTATGACTTGGGCATCAAAAGTTTCAAATCTCTTGCTGGTAGAATGGTTTGAAGCTAAGACTGCTGGGTGTGAATCCTGGCTCCACTGCTTACTCATCAGGTGGGCCCCTACAGGGGACTGCCCTCCTCCAGGCCCCAGTTTCCTCATCTCTAAAACAGGAGTAAGGAGGATGGCTGGGAGGCTTACATGAGCCAATGATGGAAGCACTGAGGAGTGTACCTGGTGCACGGCACTCAGTCAGGCCTAGCTGCTGTTTAACTTATTTTATGTGCTTTGTAAGCAGTTCCGGAGGGGTCCAAATGTGTGGGAGGTTTTTCTTATCATGAAACTTCTTCAGTCATTGCCAGGATTCTAATATTCTGTGCTTCCGGCATTTCACAATTCCAGGGTTTCAAATACTCTAAGAGTTCCTCACTCCAGCCTCTACCTGCCTCACAGACACACGTTTACAGATCTAGAAACTGAGACCAGGCCAGAGGGGCAGGCAGTAGGGACTCGGCCAAGGTTATGGAGCTGAGGCTGGAATCCAGGCTCCTGTCCCCACCCCCATCCCCACCCCCACCCCATGCCAATGGCCAGCTGCCCTGCTGACCCCACGAAAACAGTGCTCCCATTCTCTGCCTGAGAATTCTCTGAGCCAGAGAATGGGGAGGAGACCGAGGCTGCCGGGCCCTTGCTTGTTTACTAACGCTCCCTTAACAGGGCTGGGGGCTTCTCTCCTGGGAGCTGCTGCTGAGCCTTGTGTGTCCTGTGGCTCCTCTGACAGATCCCGCCTGACTCCGTCCTGGAAAGTCCTTTTGAAGAAATGGCCCTGGTGAGGGGCGGCTGGCTGTGGAGACAGAGTGAGTGATCCTGGGCAGGGTGAGGGAGGTGACTTGTTGGGCCTGCCACTGTGAACCCTTACCCCAAGAAACCGGAATCTTTCATCCTTCCTTCCTCCATGCTCTTCCCGCTGCCTGAATGTCTTTCCCATTCCTGATTGCTTGGTAACCTTCTACTTGTTCTTTAAGACCCAGCTCAGATGTCCCCTTTTTCGAGGAGACTTCTCTGACTTTTCCTCTGCCCCCACTCCCGCCCCCGCTGTAGCACCAAGCTGGATTAGAGCCTCCCCTCTCGGTTCCCACAAGGCCTTCTTGTGATCTACTTACAGGAGAACTGTGTGTATCTGTGGGTCTCCCTATTCCCCGACCCCATACTGGCCCAGACTGTGAGCTTCTCAAGGGACAGGCTTGACCCTTTAGGTGTCCACAGCATCCCAGCCCAGGGCTTTACACAGAACAGGGTATAGAACCAAATGAAAAATGTCCCTGTGCTTGGGAATCCGTAAAGCTCTGAGGAGCTCTCTCATGTCCCTGCCCTTTCCTGTCAAGATTGCTAGTTGCATGAGGTCTCAGGCTTCCAGACCCACCTCTTCCCAGAATCACAATCTGAACAAGAGCTATCCCAGGGACCTCAGGACTAGGAGCATGCATGCCCCACGTCCCCTGCCATTCTCAGTTCATTTTGTTCGGCAAACACTGAACACAGAACCCAACATGGATGCTGGGTCCTATGACCTGTGTAGGGAGCTGTGGACCCCTGGTCTGGTGAAGGAGGCAGATGCTACACAAATAGCTGTCATACAAGCCAGAGACAAGAGATAAGGTGGAGGCTCGAGGTAGGGAGAGGAATTTTCCCTTGAAGAAACCTGGGGCTTGGCCTCCAAGCAATGGGTCCAGTCACTTATTCACCATTTAGCACATCTATTGAGCCTCTACTATGTGTCAGGCCCAATGGGAGGACGGGGGTGAGCAAGACAGAGAGAGGCCCTTCCCTCATTTCAGGGGGTAGACGACAAGGAAGAGGCAGTTCTAACACTGGGGACTGGGACTGAGGGGACTTGGAGAGCCTGTCTGGGGCTCCTATCCCCAGCAGGCTCTGGGATCAGCCCACCTGGTGTGTCTGGAATATCACACAGGCTCCATCCTCCGCCGCTGGAAGCGGAACTGGTTTGCTCTGTGGCTGGACGGGACCCTGGGCTACTACCACGATGAGACAGCACAGGACGAAGAGGACCGCGTGCTCATCCACTTCAATGTCCGCGATATAAAGATCGGCCAAGAGTGCCATGGTGAGCAGAAGCCCCTTCCTCTGTGGCTCTGTGACTACAGGCAGTGCTCCCCTGCTGTGTCAGAAAACACCTGCAGTTGGAAGGTTCTTTGCAGCTTACAGAGGGCTTCCGCAGACATTGCTTCTGAGCCCCTGTCAACTCCAATTCAGCTGGGTGTGAGTTAAGAAGTGAGGCCAGGTGCAGTGACTCATGCCTGTAATCCCAGTGCTTTGGGAGGCCAAGGTGGGAGGATTGCTTAGACCCAGGAATTTGAGACCAGCCTGGGCAACATAGCAAGACCTCATATCTACACAAAAATTAAAAAATTAGCTGAGTGTGGTGGCACACACTTGTAGTCCTAGCTACTCAAGAGACTGAGGTGGGAGTCCAGGAGTTTGAGGCTACAGTGAGCTGTGATCAAGTCACTGTACTCCAGCCTGGGTGACAGAGCAAGAGCCTATCTCTGAAACAAAAAAGGAGAGAAAAAGAGAGAAGGAAGTAAATAAATCAGTTCTTTAGTGAGTTTCAACTCTGTGCTGTGTCACAGAGGTGAGTGAGATACAATTCCCACCTTCTAGGCACTAGGTACTGGATAAAGATGAAATAAAATAAGGAGGCCCAGAGAGACACAGCAAATCTCTCAATTCCTTGACCAAAACTCAGCCCACAATTATAACAGGGTAACTGGGAGATGTCCCTAGGGAAGCTGGCAACATGGAATGGCTGAAAAGGTTTGAAGAGTGGAGTGGAATTCCAAAGAAAGCATGTGGGATCAGAGGAGGTTGGCAATGACCAGTAAGCAGGACCAGGGAAGTCAGTTCCTACTCTTGTTCCTGGTTTTCCTGGGGGGATCTGGGGCCTGAACCTGTGAAAACCCACATATGTGTTTCTGCTTCCAGATGTGCAGCCCCCTGAGGGCCGGAGCCGGGATGGGCTGTTGACCGTGAACCTGCGGGAAGGCTCCCGCCTGCATCTATGCGCAGAGACCCGGGATGATGCCCTGTGAGTCACTTTCAGGAGAGGACGGGGAAGAATCTCGGGGAATGCAGCCAGGCACTCCCCTGCCCCCTTCAGGTCTCTGGTTCTCCAATCAGTGAGGGTGTCTCATTGGAGACTAGGCAGAGTGGATTTAAGGGTTTGTGGCGGTGGGTATGTCACCCAGCAAATCATTCCATGTTCTACGATGGATTCAGAAGTGTCGAGGGATAGGTGTGCACACCTGCCTCAGGTGTGAGGCCCCTAGTCCTTCAGAATTGGGTATTTAACAGCCTCTGATGTGGGTGCTCAGCTGGGGGTGATGCAAGGGAGCCTCCTGGTGGGAGTCTCCTATCTGAGACGTAGACTTGGACCTGGCTACAGAAGCAGCCGGCTGTGTCCCAGCCAAGATGCCCCAATATCAGATGCATAGCCCCACAGCCAGGCTGGGTGTGTCCTCCTCTGGCGCCGCCTGCTCACTCGAGTTCCATCTCTTCCTACCCCCTGGTGGAGGAGCCTTGGCCTTTGCGTTGGAGGACAGTGAAAGAAATGGGTGTGTAGGAGTGGGGGAAGCTGAACTCCAGGCATGCAGCACAGAGCTGCCTTGTGCCACCCAGCCAGGTGCCATGGCAACCAACAAAGGCCCAATTGTCTGGTGTCCACTGGGCCTTCCCGGGCCCTGGGGTCAGAGCTTTGGGGAACCGTGTGTGTAGATTAGGACGTGGAGGTGGGCAGCTGGAGCATCTGCCCAGGCATTTTGAACTCTGAAGTCCCCTAAGAGACCACCCAAGCCCAACAGTGCACTGTGCAGATGGGGAAAGAAACTTCTAGATGGGAAGAGACTATGAACTAAGAATGAATTAGCCTAACTTGGGGCTCACCTATGTGACTGGAGCACTTGAGACTAAGTTGGAGGGGAAAGTCTAAAATGTGGGAACCCAATCTCCCCACCCCCAAACTCCCTCCTCATGATCTGATGGAATTTTTCTTGCAGAGCATGGAAGACGGCACTGCTGGAGGCGAACTCAACCCCGGTGAGCCCCCCATTCTCTCCCCCTCTCTTCCTCACCCTCATGTGCCATGGAATCATGGGTGGCTCAGACTCGGTCTCTACCTGCCAGCAGTTCTCAGTCTAGTGTGGATAGGTTTGTGCAGACTCAGATGCCTTGAGTCCCAGTGGAAAGGCATAGAGGATAGCCAGCTGGTGCTCAGAAGAGGGACAGAATGAAGCTCCATGAAGCCTTGTTGCAGGGAGTGGCATGTGAGCTGGGGAAAAGGCACTGTCTTTTATCAAGCAACTGTTATATATACCGGGCATGGTACAGGTATAATTCCAGCTACTCTTTACAACAGTCCTGTGAGGTTGGGATTATTGTTCCCTCTCAGATGACAAGACTGAGGTTCATTCATACGACAGACATTTACTGAGGCCCTACTATGTGCTGAGTGCCTGGGATGAGAGATAACCCAAGGGCCCTGCCCTCCTGAATTCAGCTTAGTGAGAAGCCAGACAAGAAACAACTAATCAATTGGTCCATTATTTCATTTCAGTAGTAGTAACGGCTCTGACAGAGACTTAGAGTGTGTGACTCTTTGGTCTAGGTGGGAATTCAGAGGAGGCTTCAGTTGACAGCTGTAGGATAAACAGAAATTGACTGGGTGAAAGGTGACTGTGGTGAGGGGAACAGCATTCCAGGCAGAGGGATCAGCATGTGCAGAGGCCCTGAGAGGGGTTAAGATGCTGACAAGTTGAGGACAGATGGAAGGCTGGGAGGCTGGAGCTCAGGGAATGAGGGGGCGATGGGGAAGTTGGAATGACAGGACCAGGCCTGTGGGCTGTGTTAAGGATGTTGGTTTCTGCAAAGAACACCAGGAAGCCATTACAAATTTTAAAGCAGATGAATGGCATGATCAGATCAGGTTTACATTTATTTATTTATTATTTATTTATTTTTTGAGTCAAGGTCTCACTCTGTCACCTAGTCTGGAGTACAGTGGCACAATCATGGCTCACTGCAGTCTCCAACACCTGGGCTTAAGCAATTCTTCTGACTCAGCTTCCCAAGTAGCTGGGACTATAGATGCGTGCCACCATGCCCAGTTAATTTTTTAATTTTTTTTTGTAGAGACGAGGTCTTGCTATATTGCCCATGCTGGTCTCAAACTCGGGCTCAAGCAATCTTCCTGCCTTCGCATCCCAAAGTGCTGGGATTACAGGCATGAGCCGCTGCACCCGGCCCAGATCAGATCTGTATTTCTTTTCTTTTCTTTTTGAGTTGGAGTCTCACTCTTGTTGTCCAGGCTGGAGTGTAGTGGCACGCTCATGGCCACTGCAGCCTCAACCTGCTGGGCTCAGGCGATCCTTCCACCTCAGCCTTCAAGGAGCTAGAACTACAGACGCACACCATCACGCCTAGCTAGTTTTTGTGACTTACTGTAGAGACCAGGTCTCACCAAGTTGCCCAGGCTGGTCTTGGACCCATGGACTCAGGCAATCCTCCTGCCTTGGCCTTCCAAAGTGCTGGGATTACAGGCTGAGCCACTGTACCCGACCCAGATCTGTATTTCTAAAAAGATAGTCTGGTTGGTAGATAGGGAATGGATTGTAGAGGGTCAGTGTGGACACCCAGAGACCAGGTAGGCTGGGACAGTGTCCAAGCGACAGGCTGGAGTCTTGACTAAAGTCTTTTCGGCAGAGACAGGCTAAAGAGTATGGGACATACTAGGAGATGGAGTCGCCAGAGCTGAGTGGCGGAGGAAGGTGTGGGTTTGAAGAGCTGCCCAAGGCCTGGCTTGCCCTTCACCCCTCATCTGCCTGACTCCAGATCTGTGCTGGCTCCCTCTGTCTGTGGCACAGTGGCGCTCCCTCCCTTCTCGGGAGACCCATTGGGATGTAGCAGGGGAGCCCAGGATGCATTTAGAAACCCCTCAGGCCTCCGAGGGCCAGGCATCATGCTAACCACCTGGCAAGGCTTACATCATTTCATCTTCCAGAAACCCTGGCAAGGGGAAGGTTGGAGGTTGGTATTATTAGTTCCGTTTTACAGATAGGGAACCGGAGGTTCTGAGAGGGGAACTGACTTTTCCAGAGTCCCATAGTCTTAAGTCAGTGGAAGAGTCTGTATTGGAGCCCAGGTCAGTGGGGTTTTTGAGAGGAGGGCGTTGCCTGCAGAAGTTGCTGCATGAGCAGAGACAGGGAAGTGATGTGTGCACGTGTGTGTGAGAGCACAAGTGTGTATTTGAGGATCTGGAGTCTGACCTGGCTGAAGGATAATGCATGGAGGGAATGAAACAGGAGATATGAGCTCTGAGGTCATCGGGCCAGGTCCCAATGGGTCTCGAAGTCCATTTGGAAGAACTGGACTTTTCCTGAGGGTTGTGGGGAGCAGTAAAGGCCCTCAGCAGGGAGGGCTATAGCCAGACCTTAGGGAGCAGATTCAGGTTTCCTGGTGGGGGTGAATGGGAGGAGGCAGGGAGTAAGGGGGTCAGAGCAGTGGTCAGCAGGTGGGACCTGGCTTGGGCCGCCCTGGTGTAGAGCTCCAAAGCCTCTTTATGCGGGGCAAATCAGTCCCACTGGAGAGAAGGAAGCATGTGAGGGTGACCGTTCTGCGCTCTGTGACTCTATGAAGCCATCCCATCCTTCTCCACCTGTCCTTCTCCTGGAGTTCTGTGTACCCTTCTCTCTGCTCAAGATTCTGTTCCACCTTTCCCTGCTCCACATACACACATGCCTCTGGACCTGGAGCTCACTAGAGTGTGTGTGTGTGTGTCTGTATCTGTGTACCTGTGTCTGCCTGTCTCTGTGTGTTCACGTCTGTGTGTGTGGGTTTCTCTCTGACCCGGTGCCTCTGTGGGAATGACCTGCACTTTGATCCCCGACTTGCTGCAGGTTCACACCACACTCTGGGTGGAGGCTCCAGGAGCCCCCGACACCCACTGCACCAGGGAACACAGGGCCTGGGGATACAGCCAGGGGCAAAGCCGGGGATGGTGGTGAAGGGGGCCAGGTGGGCTGGAGGACACATCAGAGCTGCCCTGTTCTCCCTAGAATCTGGGAACCCTCGACGAATGAGGTGATGGAGGATGGGCTGATTCTGGAAACAGAATATTTGTCCTTCCCTGTGTATCTGCCAGTCACCACACCCTCTGAGTCTCCCCCACGCTACCAAGAGCTGAGGAGGAAAAGGATACCCTTCCGACCCCCCACCGCCCCTGCCCCCAACCCAGCTGGCAAAGGACTCTGGTAGAGTCTGGTCAGAGCGCTGCATCTCTTCAGGTGTAGGGGGCCTCTGACACTCCTCCCCTCCCTCCCCCTTCTCGGGTTTCTGTGGCTTGAGCAGGCCCCAGCTGGAGCCACCGTCCCTCCCAGGAGCCGCCGGGTTTGCCCCAAGGTCAGGTGTGTGACCTGCTCGTGGAGCCCCTGTCAGGTTGAGAGGCGGATCTGGGTAAGTGCTGGCTCGGCCCTCCCTGCCTCCATGCTGGCCGCCAGGATGAGCCTCCAAAGCCAGGCCCGGTCACATCCCTTCCTTGCTCGTGAACCTTCCATGACTCCCTGTCGCCCAAGGGACACTGACCACAGCCTGGCTTTCAAGGCCCTCCGGATCTGACCTGGGCCAGTCTTGCTTGCCGCAGCTTCCTCATCCCTGTACCCCTACCACTCTGCTGGCCCCAGCCCCACCAGACCTCTCCCCTCTGCCAGGCTTTGTACACGCTCTTCTCTCTGCCGCCAAGACCTTAGCTTCCTCGCTCACTTGACAAACATGCTCATCCTGTAAGGTTCACCTTGAAGGCTGCCACCTCCTCCGTGGGGACTTTCCAGACCCCCGGGAACTGCCACTCCCTCCCACAGCTCAGTGGTACTAGAGCTCAGTACTTTCTTCAGTCTTCCTGGTTTCAGAGTCTGCTTATTACCCTTTGTTTAGTTTCCCATAAGACCCAGAACTTCCTCCAAGGCAAGGACCAGGTCTGATTAGCTCTGCCCCTGTGGAGCCTGGCACAGGGCTAGGCATACAGCAGGTGCTCAAAGAATGCTCAATGATGAGGACAGTCTATGCTGACCCTCCTCATTCCTAGCATTTGAGGGTCTGGCACAAGTAGGCTTCAGGGAGTGTTCACTGAACGAGCAAAGAAAGGAAGGAAGGGATGAGAAAACCTCTGTTATCCTAATACACTACAGAGTATAATTTAATCAGGGTCTGTCTCTCTCCACCCTGAATATTTCTTGAATGTCTGGACCTAAGCCGGGCTCAGTGGCTCAGCCTGTGATCCCACGCCTTGGGAGGCTGAGGTGAGTGGATTGCCTGAGCCCGCGGGTTCGAGACCCGCCTGGGCAGCGAGACCTCATCTCTACAATAAATCAAAAAATCAGCCAGGTGTGGTAG